TGAAGAATGAGTTGAAGCTCTTCAATTCTTGGTCTCAAGGTTGTTTATTGTTTCTTATCTATAAAAAATTTTCTCCTGCCCTGCCGAGGTCCATCCAGCAGGACAGTTCCAGGCACTCTGCCTGCCCCCAGGCCAGTGTTAAGTCTTTATACTAAAAACTACATGTACAATGTTTGCAATTGCTTTCCAATACCTATCACCTGTGTTAGACAGTGAGCTTCTACTCTAAACCAATCCCAAAGTGCCAACATCACAGCAGAAGATGGAGGCCAAGCAGAAGAAGGAGAAAGGCAGGACACACCCAGTTCCCTCTGTCTTGCCCCCCTGAACCCCCATTATAAAAACCCCAAAATCTACTTTTCCACCCTGTGATAACTTCACTTTTCTACCTAAGCTGTTGTGGCTTGCAGATCTTCATCTAAGGCTGGTAATTTGCTCCACGGGTCATAATCAAACCCAGAGGTGTTTTGGGCTCTGTGCCAGGGTCCTGGCCATGCTGGGCAGCCAGAGGGATGCTCTGGGTTCCCACAGCCAGCCCCTCACAGGCTGCTCAGACAGGGTGCCAATCCCCCATCCTTGCTGATGCTCCAAGCCTGGGAAGGCTCAGCAGCCTGGTGCACCTGGAGCTGGGTTTCCCTTCACTGCAGCCTTGCAGCTGGGGCTGGAACTGGAGGAGGCTCATGCTGTGTGTGCCCTTTGTGTGTCCCTGCAGTGCAGCTGATCGAGAAGTACCGCAGGTGTGGCTTCTCCAAGGTGTGGTTTGCAAGTGCCTTCAAGGGAGCCACGGGAGCAAACCAGTCTCTGACCCTGATTGGGCACCACCTGAGGAACCAGCTGGAGTGGCTGCAGGTGGCCCAGAGGAGCCCTGCTGATGTCCTGGAAGGGATTGCACTGACTGGCTGGCAGAGGTGAGGAGCAGCCCTTGTGTGCCTCCAGGAGTCACAGATAACCCAACTTCCACCCAAAAGCTCCCTTAGAGCTCCAGGGAAGCTGAGGGTTTGGAAGGGAATTTTGCCACCCTGCAATTCTTCTGTCAGTGCTGTGCCTCACCCCCAGCCTGTGAAGGGTGGACTGACCAGCAGGAGCAATGGCTTTGGGGACAACACCAGCAGCAGATTGGGCTGGAAGGCTTGAATGGCTTTTGTGCCACCTTGAACTGCTCACAGACACTGGAGTTCATGCTTGCTGTGTCTATCTGAATGTCTGATGGGAACTCAAAAACTATGAAATCACTTAAAAGACAAGAATTTGTTAAAGTTATGAAGGAGTAAAACATTTTTATGCAGTCATGTATTCCCTACCAGAGAGCTGATGTCCAATTTCTGACCCTAACTTGCCTTGAGAATTTGGTTTTCCTCTGTTCTTACTGGTTAAAGAGAAATACTTCACATTTCAGAGATAAGTGATGTCTTCTCTGAGACAGAAACTGATGTTTCTAAAGCTCTTTGAATTTTGGTGATTGAAATATTAAACCCTCCCATTTGTTTAGTCTGCTCTAACAGTAAAATGTGTGATTCATGGATGTTTTCTTACACAGGTATGATCACTTTGCTGTTCTGTGTGAGCTTCTCCCTGTGGCCATTCCATCCCTGGCTGTGTGTCTGCAGGCACTGAAGAATGGTACAATGACAACATTATTCTCTCTCAGACAATGCCTAGCACAGGAGTGAAGTGCCCTTGCCCTAAAATTAGCACAGGATTGTTATATTTTGAGGTGGTTTGCTGAATTGATCATGGCCTGAATTATGAACAATAAATTACAATTTGCAGTATGGGAGCAGAGAAGCCTCTTGGCCTAAGTATTTAAAAATAGCCATTGTATCCTCTTCATTTATTGTGAACTAACACACAAATGGTCAAAAACTTCATGCTTATATTAAAAATAAATTTAAGATGCAGAATTGCTCTTCAAACTTACCTGAAACAATAGTGATATATAAATGAGCCTAATTTAGTTTAATTTAGAACGTGCTCATGTGTAAAAGTTGTTTTAAGTAATTTTTTTTCTTAAAATGGATCTAGGGAGGACATTGTCTGGTAAAATACCTCCTGTAGTTTCTGCTTTCTTTACAGGCAGTTGCCAACAATATTTTTCTTATTTTCAAAATAAGATTTTTAATTTAGGCACTAGAAATATTCAGCACCCTGAACAGAAAGCTCAGAGCTAGGAAGTGCTCACCTTGCACAAGACAGCTGTGTCAAAGACACTGAGCTCCTCCTCCCATTCCCAAGTGTTTTTTCCTTCTTTTATTTCCATTTTACCTTTTAAAAAATTCTTCACCAAAGGGGAGCTACTAATCCAAGGCAGAATACTGCAGAAAACCCCTCTTGTATGAAGATTTTGGTTCCCTAGGCTCCTTTACTCATTTCACTGTCTTCTGCCAGGTGGCTTCTCTGAAAAGGTTAAAGAAAACGTGGAAAACCTCCTGGGCATGCCTAACCTGGAAATTGAAACTTTCATGAGGTAACAACATTCCAGCTGCAGCACTGAGCTGCTTCTCCTTGTGTGGTAAGTTCAGAAATAACAGATCCTCTTGGGACAGCCCAGGTCTGGGGACCTTTCCTGGGAGCAGTGTCCTCACCCTTGTGACACAAATCAGTTTCCACCTCAAGTCATCAGTGGATGAACTTCTGGAAAGGAACAGGTAATGAAGTTTCTGTTTGATTCTCTGCCTGGCTGCAGCACTGTTGGAGCTGTATCCTCCCAAAGTGGGGCACAACTCCAAAAAAATGATTTAAATATCAAGCTGTGCATTTCAGGTGTCACTGACACCTCAGCAGAACATAATATTTACATCAAAATTTAAAATATTTTAGTGAAGTTCCTAAATACTGTATGCTGCCTTATTTGAAGCATATAGTTCTTTCCCTAATTACATTTTACTGCTGTTTAAAGTTAAAATGAACATTTTGAATGGTGTAGTTAAAAAAGAAAGGAGCTTAAAATGAAACTTTGAAACTTACACTGCAGCAGATGATCAGGTGCTCATCTGCCAGGAGCACTTCCACAAGCTAATTCCAAAGATCTACAGGCTGGAATAAATTTCCTCCTGAAGCACCATCTCTGTGCAGAGCTCAGCTGCAGCCTCCCCAGCAGTGACAAACAGAGGTGGCTGCTGTTCCATCACTGCTCCCACCACCCTCCATTTCCAGGTATTCCACAGGCTGGTTCAGCCCCTACCACAGGAAAAGGAAGATTATTCATCCCATCATAGTGCACCACCTGCAGCCAGATGCAGTCAGGTACCAGCACTTGTTTTGCACTCCAGGGGAAATAAAGTCTGAGATATTTTGGGCACTCAGGTCCAGAGAGCTGTGAGCCCTTCCCTCTGCTAGAATTATCTCAGAAACATCAGTGGGAATCGAAGTATCCATCATCTGTTTTTATACAACATGTTTGGGTTGGAACTAGATGATGTTCACAGCTCCCTTCCAACACAAACCATCCTATGGTTCTAATTTTATCTTTGCCTTCTGTTGAATGAATTCTCTGAGAACAAGTACAAAATTGGAATCCAAAAGCTTCTCCCTTGTTATTCCTGTAACAAGGATTCACAGGAGTTACAGCCCTGCTGCACCTCCAGGGGCTTGGAATAAAGGCAGGCCCTTCCCCCTGTCACCGTGGGCTTTTCAGAACTTGTCCTGGACATTCTGCCAATTCATGCTAAAAGGTTCATTTATAATTTTATTTTCTGTGTTAAGATGAATATCCACTCCAGCCTCATCTCCCTTTCTGATAAAACCCAGAATTAAATTCCCAACAAGTCTCACAGTGGGTTTCAGTTACACTTAAAATGTGCATAGTGTTTTTCTGAGCTCACTTTTTGGTACTTTAAAAGTCTTGGCATGAGGAAAGTGCCAAGATTAATGGAATTAAACAGAAACAGCATCAAGCTTTTGCCATCTGAACCAAATCAAGTCCTTTGGGCTCCTGTAATAGAAGCTTCTTTTCCTGTCAAGTGGTTTTAAGGACAGTTTTCCTTCCAAAGGCAGAAAGCCAGCCCTCCCCTGAGGCAGAGCTCACCTGCCAATGCCATTATTTCTTCTTTTCACTTCTGCTCAGGCTCTTCTCCAAGTGGAGTGCTGTGGTGCAGGACCTGCAGGCAGCCATGGAGCAAGTTTTCCCCAGGTGTGCTATAGAGGAATGGATGGAGGAGAATGTCCACCCCCACCTCCAGAAGCTGCAGGGAGTGGTGGAGGATTTAGATGAAGCAATAAGAGCACAAAATTAGAGACATTTCAATTAGTCTGACTCATTCCCTGGGAAAACATGGCTAGTGAAAATCAGCACCTGGAGTTTGTCATCTTGAGAGTGTGGGTAAACAAAAGTGACCTGAAGGCATGAAGGAATTTGTTAGCATAAAACACTTCAGCTCAATTTTCCTGTCTTAACACGTGCTGAGCCTTAACTCACCTGTCAGTCAGGTTTGCTGCCCTGTGAGCCACAGCAGGAAAAAACCCAGGTCCTTCCAAATTCAGCATTTGAAACAACAGACTCTTACATAACAGTGACCTGGGAAAGTTCTACCTTAATATTTAGGATATTTTAAAAATGTTTGGGTCATTTTGTTCTGTACCAAAAGTCCTTCACATGCCAGCTGTGCTCTGAGTTGTGTCCTGGCATTCATTCATTGTCTGGGAGGAATCAGGGACACCTGGCTTGGAGGGAAAATGCCCTAAAGCACATTGGGCTGCTTCACTTTCTGCCACAGCACCCAAGCTCAGCCCCATCCCCACAGAAAGCACCTGCTGGGCTCTGTAAAACCCCAAAGTGCAACCTGCACTTCCCAGCTTTGTCCCAGCTTGAGCCATGACTAAAGGTACTAAATCTAAGGAAAAAATGCTGGGTTATTCTGCTTTAATGTCAAACTTGTCATAATGTATAGAAATATATTTTGGGGACTTTTGGTGATTATCCCAATTCTCTCTTGTTAAGTATGTTACTTCACCATGTATATTCAAAATATTTATTTCTGTGCTTCATTTATACCTTTCTTTAATTTTTTTTTGGGAGCACTAGTATTGAAATTTTCTTGGAACAAATTTTAACATACAAAAAGTAAAGCTACAGCATAAGACAAGGTTCAGGTGACTCAATGAGAGCCTCAGGAACCAGGCCCACATGCAAATCTTTATTAAAAAAAAAACTAATTGCTGTGTATACCTGTCACAAAGCTTGAACCAAACAAGATCTTAATTTATTTTACTTGAATAAAACCTTTCATACTCAAAGTGTTTTGTGGAAGGGTGTTGCTTTTTGTGTGTGCAGCATGTTGGTTTGGTTTAAAGGAGAGAAAATGGAAATATTCACAATAGAGAGTTGGATCTATCAATCTCTATTATATGGAATAATAGAAAATGGAATTAAAAGCTGGACTGCTGCAGGAGTGTCAGCAGGGTCACTTCTAAGCAGGTATTTGGGCTTCTTCTATTCTGTCCTCCCCCTCATTAACTCCTTCCCAATAATAATTTAGACAGCCATTAATATTTTAATAATTTTAATTAAAAACAATATACAAAACACTACAGCGATGCAAAACAAGTTATCAAAGTTGATTTTATCAATGAACATTTTTTTAAAAAAGACAACACAACAAGGCCTTGCTGAAATTCTACTTGCGATTTTAAAGTAAACAAAAAAAAAAAAAAGGCAATTTCTAAACATTTTCCAGAAGTATTTTTGCCTCCCAGCCATCTATGACACTGTCAGAACTAGCACTTTTTATTTATTATGGGAGCCAGCTGAGGTTTTGGTACCTGTGTAACTTCATAAATACAGCTCCAAAAATCAGATCTCAACTAGAAATATTTGGATTTTCTTTGAGGCTTGCACAATTAATGCCAGGTATGGAATATTTCATTGTCAAGTACTGGAATGTGAGGTTACACCGAGGTTACACCGAGGTTACACCAAGGTTACACAGAGCAGTGCAGCAGCCACAGCCCAGCCATGCAAGGAGCTGCCCTGTGCTGCCCTAAGTGACAGCTGCAGGGAAGGAGGTGACAAAGGGCTTGGTTTAGGTGTTAGAGCTGATCTGAGCTCTGCTGTGCAGCTTTTTAAATCATGGCTAAGTCATGCACAGCTCTCTAGAGACAGCCTGAGATGCAGAAGTTCATGAGTAAATCTGTACAAAGTCTCCTGGGAGTACTGAATTTCCTACCCAAAATGATCTTTCATGTCAGCACTTTGGGTCCAGGTCACTTCACAGCAGGCACATGCCAGGCTCTGTGTACTGAGGAGGGAGCAAAACCAGGAAATCCTTCAGCAGAATGCTGGGAAGTGGCACAAAAGGAGAAGGAGAAAGGATTTGTGCAGAGAGGGAAGAGGGGACCCTGTGCTGAGCTGCACCTGCTTCCCACAGCTCCTCAGGGTGCTGCCACTGCTGAGGGCACAGACACTGCCACAGCCAAACACAGCAACAGCAACTGCAGGTGCATTGTCCATGCACAGTCACTGCACTCAAATGGCCAGGTCTTCCAGCTAGAGATGGTATTAGAGGGCAAGAAGCTCCACATGTGGATCAAGAGAAACAAGAGAAAAGCCCATCAGCCTCCATCAGCCTGTGCTACCACTGGGGCAGTGTCCCCTGCCAGGCTCAGATGGATCAGTGCCACAGGAGCTCCTGGGTGGATCTGCCAGCAGTGCCTGACACGTCCCCACAGGAGCCCCCCAGCCTGCCAGAACATCCCCAGGGTGATCCTGCAGAACACAGCCCTGAGAACATCCCCAGGGTGATCCTGCAGCACACAGCTCTGAGAACATCCCCAGGGTGATCCTGCAGCACACAGCCCTGAGAACATCCCCAGGGTGATCCTGCAGCACACAGCCCTGAGAACATCCCCAGGGTGATCCTGCAGAACACAGCCCTGAGAACATCCCCAGGGCCCATCCTGCAGCACACAGCCCTGAGAACATCCCCAGGGTGATCCTGCAGCACACAGCTCTGAGAACATCCCCAGGGTGATCCTGCAGAACACAAACCTGAGAACATCCCCAGGGCCCATCCTGCCAGCTCAGGCTGCAGAACACAGATCCCCACTGGAACTGGACTTGTTGGTACAGTGACAGCTGCCAAATGCAAAATGGAAATGGCACCAGCTGCTCCAAGGGAAAGGCTGAGGAGTCAATATTCCTCCTAGACACACAGTGCATGGTGCAGCCATCCCTGCCCTGCCTAACACAGCAGGGCAATGAGGAGTGAGGAGGATGCTGCAGAACACCTCTGCAGAGGTGACCACTGACACCAACCCAACATACAGATTACTCCACAGGATGCATTTCAAGTTACATTGTACCTCACTACAGGTCATCCCCTTCCTATATTCTCAATGTCCTGGCATTGTTTTAGTCTTTGTCTCAGATACTGCACAGTCTGTCAGTGCAGGCATGAAACCATGAATGCACAGCAAGCTGGAGGCACTGCAGCTCAGCAGGACACACACAGGATGCAGTGCAGGGTCACACCAACAGATGCACCCCTCAAAAGCTGATTTTTAACTGGAGATCTACAGTGTGGTTTACATCTTGCATGGAATGTCAGCTGTCCTGGGAATCCAAATGAAAGCCAGCAGAGCTGAGGCTGAAGGCAGTTTGGTCTGGGCTATCCATGGCCCACTCCACGGGCTCAGGGTAAGTGCAGGGCACAGCACAATGCCCTCTGAATATCCCTGATACAGAGCAGCAGCTGGCACAGGCTGAGCCCTTGTGCTTACACTGCACCATGACATACAGCACAGAACTTCCTGCTGAAGTCCTCAGAACACTCACTATTCTCATTTTACACTGTGGGGAAAAAGAGTTCTCTAAATCCCCAATCTCATCCTCCTCTCTCTAAAATGAGCATCACCTGGGGTGTACATTACAGTGGATTTAAATGAGGAACTCTACATTAAGGGTTACACCCTGCAGTATTTTTTAAACAGGTTTGATGATTATGCTTAGCCTACAGCTGTGCTGGAGAATAAAGGCAAATTTAGCTAATTGCAACCCGATTTTCCCACATTCATATACAGCAGCTTCCCAGCTCCAGTGGTGTGGGGTGGGCACCAAAAGCCCCACGATCACCCCAACAACTCAGAGGACTTTCAGGAACATGTATTGGCAGAGCTATGTACTGATACCTGACATGATTACGAGTTTTTTATCGTATTTATAGGAAACAGACCTGGTTCTGTGCTGCAGGCAGCTACACCAACAGCCAGCAGCCCTGCTGCAGTGTGAGCCCCCAGCCTCTGCTCACACCTGGGTCTGGCAGCTGGAAGGGAAACCTTTGATGAGCAGGTGCTCAGCTTCACACCAAACTGAACTGACAACAGGATGTGCCTTCCACCAAAAGCTTTCCAGAGCCTTCTCTCTGTAGAGGTAGAGTGATTGGGAACAAGAACACAGGCTCTTTTAAATCTGAAGGAACTGCTGCCAGGAGACATTTGCTGCTGGCCAGCTGTGAAAGCACAGAACACAGTTACCTCGTACCTGTTCACATCTCCTAGATGTAACTGTGCACAGATTTTCTAAATCAGGTCCAAAGACCATAAGATTCCTAAGTAAAACCCAGTGAACTTCAGTACAAGCAGCTGTAGCATGCTGAAGGAACTCACAGCTTTTTACAATTTTTTCTTGTACTGACATGTTAATGTAAGCATGAAGCAGTTCTAGCTCTAGACAGAATATGTTGACTAACAGAGGTAGCTTTTACTTCAGAAATACCTTGAAAAAATGCATATTTGAACTATTTGTGAAACCATTGGTCAGAACAGAGGACACCACACAGCTTGAGTAAAACACAGACATTTAGTCTGTGCTACCTACCTTTAAAAAAGTTATTATTTAGCACTTGGGTATCATTTCAAGTGAGGAAATACTCATCAACTCTAAGCTACCACCTTGTTTGACATCAGCCCTTTCCCTACCTAAAGTTACACATGTCCCTGCTTCCTTTCTAAATACACAGTTTAAATAGTAAACATTGAGGTCTAGAAAAAGATTGTTCTGTCCTGCCCACAAGTGAAGCAGAACAGGATTAAGGTAGAACATCCCAAAGACTTTCATCATGATCCTTTTTCCTTTGCTATTTATGGCTCCTTGGTGAGTCTGAGATAAGTTAAGACACTGTTACAAGTTGATTATCCTGATGTTTAAAATTCCAAGAGAGGCACTCAGACTTTAATTTCCACAGATATCCAGTGGCAAGTCAGTAGTAGAGAACATAAAAGTGCCACTACTCTGCATCTCCTAATTGCATATATTAAAGGGGAAACCTCAAAGCATTGTGTATTGAGTTACAAATTCAACTCTTCTACATTGCATCTACTGTACCTGCAGCAAATGTTTGCAGTAAGCAGAAGCTCACATCTGCATCTTCATTAGTGGAAAAGCAATTATTTCAAACCAATTCATTAATAAATAACTATTCCTAGACAAGTTTGATGAGGTGACAGAAGTTCAAAAGCCAGCAGTGTCCACATGCAGGGTCTTGAAGCAGTTTAGCACTAAACAATGGGCCCTAAGACAGATTCCATCCATTGTAAATGCACACGTTGAGAAATGCCCAGATCAAGGTTGTGAGGGGTTTCTTGTTCTGAAGAACAACCAGAATATTTTCCAGATGTGTGAAAGCCTCTGCTTGCTTCAGTTCACAATGACTATCAGTATTTAACCTGTGGCTCATCTGCATCACTTGCCTCTGTTTCGCTGCTCTGGGAGAAATCTTGTGGGGTCTCCACTCTGTCCAGTTCCAGAAAACTCGTGATGAGTTTGGCAACTGCTTCCACATCACTGTGGGAAGGAAGAAACAATGGAAGAGTTAGTGGAACTGCAGTGCTGACAAGGCAAGAGCAGGCATGCTAATTCCTGAGAATAACTGCCTGGAGGGAAACTCATATGGGCATAGAGGCTATGGCTGACACACCAAGCCATTCCCTCACAGCAGAACAAATCAGTGCTTTCCCACTCCCTGCTGCAAGGTTCCTTATTATCAATGCTTAAGATAATTTTTCTGTTAATTAATACACCAAATATTTGCAAAGTAGAATTAGACCCTTCTGCCACTGCATAGCTCAGGAAGGCAACTCCAGCAGACACACAGCACTAAAGGGATCTCAGATAGTTAAACATGATCCTGACAGATGGAGTTAGCAAAATGTCTGCAAATGAAAACATCATGGGGTTTAAAAAAAGGTTAAACTGAGTAACACAAGGTCATAACAGCAAGTCTAAAACTGAGCTTAATAATAAAGATGCCTTCTGAAGGCTGGCCTAGAGCAGAGGCTGGGCAGAGTTAAAGAATAAAGCAGGGATTTATGAAAAGGATCTCCTCCATGGATCCACCTTGGGCAGCACAAGAGCCCAGCCAGGGCTGCACCCAAGATGAACCAAAATGGTCCCAAAATGGACGACCGGGCACGGGGTCTCACTTTGATCAGTTCTGCTCCATTTCCATATTGGAGTTCATTGTCCAATTTTAGGTTTAGCTCATGCAGTGCCACCCTGCTTGTTTTTCTCTCTCCAGCCCATGGTGTTTGTGCTCTTGGGCTGAGATTTGGATCATTTGTCCTTGGTGCCCAGCTGGAGCAGGAATTGTTTTGTCTCCCTGCTCTGTGCACAGAGCTCACCGTCCCCTCACATGAAGCTCAGACCCACACACTGAAGCAGCACAGAATGTGAAAAATAGAAAAACTAAAACCTGAGGCATCAACAATAGCTGGCAATTACTGACCCACACGATTGGCATCCCCACCTTCCACATTCCAATTTTACCAAGTCCCCACTGCACCTTCTGCAGCCCAGCACGGCGCTCTGGGTGAGCGGGTGTGAGAAGCCGGTGACGAAGCGCAGCACCACCAGGTGGCCCTTCCCGAAATAGCGCACGGCCTCCTCCTCCACGTTCACATCGCGGATCTCGCTCAGCACGGCCACCACTGCAGGGAGGGCACAAGAGCAGCTTCAGCAGCACCGCAAACCCCCAGCACTGCTGACAGGGTCACAGGGACCCTGCCACAGACATCTTTTATGAAAGATCCTTTCCTTAGGATTTTTCCTCCTGAGAAGCTGGGAGGCCTCAGGTACAAAATGTAAACAATGATTATCTGCTGCTGTGGAATGCAACAGGTGCATCTGGGATTGGTCTCATGTGGTTGTTTTTAATTAATGGCCAATCACAGCCCAGCTGTCCAGACTGTCTCAGTCAGTCACAGGCCTTTGTTATCATTCTTTTTCTATTCTTAGCCAGCCTTCTGATGAAATCCTTTCTTCTATTCTTTTAGTGTAGTTTTAATATAATATATATCATAAAATAACAAATCAAGCCTTCTGAAACATGGAGTCAGATCCTCCTCTCTTCCTCATCCTCAGAGGGACCCTGCTCTGGGGCAGCACTGCTGTGACCCCTCACAGCCAGGGCACTCCTGCAGCAGCAAACTGATGCCTTGTGCAGGCTGATCTAGAGCAGAGACCAGATGGAGCTAAAGAATAACTTTATTCTTCTTAGGGATTTATTAAATGGCCTCCATGGATCCACCTTGGGCAGCACAAGAGCCCAGCCAGGGCTGCACCCAAGATGAACCAAAATGGTCCCAAAATGCACAACTGGTCATGGGGTCTCTCATTATTATAAGTTCTGCTCCATTTGCATCTTGGAGTTCATTGTCCAGCTACAGTTCCAGCCCATTAAGTCACTTCCTTCTGTTTTTCTCTCTTTAGTCCACATTTTTTATGCTCTTGGGCCTGAGGTTTGGATCATTTGTCCTTGGTCCCCAGCTAGAGAAGGAATTTTTGTCTCCCTGTAGCCCCATTACTCTTCACAGAGAAAAGCAAGGCACAATTCTTCCCAAGAATATTTCTGGGTTTCACATTCTCTGAACCTCAGAGAAAGGAAAAACAATTCTTATCATTTGCTGTGCCTGTGTTTGTGCAAAAGTAGGATGCAATATGGAGCCTGTTTCCCCACAGTGATGGTGTTTTGTTTCCTTGGCCTGTCAGGCCAGGTGTGTGTGTCAGGACTGTTGGGTGACAGCCACAAGATTCAGTGCAGTTCAGTTTTGTGCAGGGTTGAGTGCTTGGCAGGTTCAGGTTTAGATGTTCTGGCATAGAAGGAGATCCCAGTTTGCAACAGAATAAAAGATCCCAGTTTGCAATAGAGCTTCCAACTCACCACCCTGACTCCCCCAACTCACAGACCAAACTGCAACTTCTGGGAGTCCAAGGGAAAGCCCAAGGCCATCAGATCCTGCATTAAACTGAGCCTCCTGCTCAGGCTGCTTTAAATGCATATTCTGTAACTGCAGGATGGAACAAGCCTGCTTGCATATGCTATCAAACCTTTGCCTGCTCCCCAAAGCCGATGAGATTACAGGAATCTCAACTTCTGGTTCCAAAATTGAAGTTTTTCCACCAGTCCCAGCTGCCAGGCAGGCTAGCCAAGAGCAAGGTAAGCACATTAACATCCCAAAGGAATAGCTAACATTATTAGGGAAAGCAATGTGTAGGCCTACTTCTGTTGGATTAAAATAATTAACAAGATGCATTCAGCACACTGAGAAAAAGCATTTGGGCCCAGAGAGGCAGATTGTTACATCTGCTGCTTGGGAACAAAGCAGATCTGGAAGCAGATGTGATTTAATTTGAGTACAGAACTCCAGAGAAGCTATTAAATGGGCACACATCCATCTCTGCTGCTGCTCACCACATTTTCTACCACAGATGCTGCTTTCTCACCTTGTTCATTGCCTCCTTTTGACAAGGTCAGGATTTTTTTGTAGAGGTTGAATGTTTTTAGGCAGATTGTTCCCTTGTTTTTATCAAATACAGCTTCCTGTGAAATTGAAAAGAATTAAGATTTTCATCACTAGCTATGCTTCAAAGTAAAATAAAAATAGTTCCATTGGAAAATAATCTTGGTAACAGAAAAATACACAGAGAGAGACAGAGATACATTCCTCTATTACCAGACCATGAAAATCACAATCTTGCTCTTGGTTTTAATAGAAATTTTACCATATCTCTGGTGTGACTTCTAGAAAGGAGTTAAAATGGGTTCATTGTCCCTCTTGCCACATTCCCCATGTAATAAAAGCTGGAATTAAATCTGAACACTAACTTGTAACTCCTATAATTCTCACATCTAGTGAATTTGACATCCCAGTGCTGTGCTCATTTGGCCAGGCTTACACAGACCTCAAACATCCCAATGAAAATGAATATTAATGATATGGGATATTAATAAAATTCATATTAATCAATGAAAAGAGGATCTTGCTCTCTTTAGGGGAGTTGCTCATTCTAACACAGCTCAGGTCAGCAGGGTGACAGGTGCCTACTGCTCTCAAATCAACATCCACACAATTCTAAAGCAGAGGAAAAAAGCTGAGCAGCCTGGAAGCTGAGAGCTCCCTTATTTAGTGGTCTCTCTGTCATTAGCCTGAAGGCCAAGTTCAAAATCATTTGTGCAGCTGAATGTCCTGGTCATTCTCCCTCTTTTGTATAAGAGAGAACATTTTGGGCCAAGTCTCCCCTTAAAAATACCCAAATGTTTAGCTTCACATTTTTATACTTGTATAATCCAAGAATTCTTGCCCTAATTCTAGTCCTAGCACAGAAACCCAGAGGGTTTCCTCAAAACCAAAAGCCTAACTTGTGTGTTAAAAAGCCTAACTCACAGCCCCTCATTTCCTGGGCTCAGCATCTTTCTTACCTCCCACTGCTCCAGATTCTGGGCTGCCACAAAGAAACACCCAGCCATGTAGAAGAGCTTCCATGCCAAGCTGTCTGGACAATGTAAAAAATGCAGAAATTTAGGTTTTTTTACTCCTTCTCTGGTATTGAAACAATCCTGAAAGCAACATGCTCCCTTGAAAAGCAACAAAAGGAGGAAAGGTTTCTCTGATGGAACATTTTTGCTTTTAGTTGTACTACAAGCTATTTTACAGCTCTTTCCCAGAATGAAAATATAGAAAATTTTCACACTTTTCAGAAACTTCATTCACACTGGGCTTCAAACCATGCAGAATTATAAGCATTTGTATTATTGGCAAGGTTGGAACATCACATCTTTCTCTTCTCTACAAAGGGATCTTACAAGGCATTCACAAAACTGCCAACCTGCTGTCAAACACCAAATATTTGTGCTGCAGAGGACAAGGATAAGGACAATGAAAACTCAATAAAGGAAACATGCTCCTGCATAAAAGGAAGCAGTTGGTCCTCTTGACAAACAAACATTTGCATTTCATGTCCTGGAGATGTTTACATGTCACAGCCTGAATAATTTGCTCACTCAGGCTTTTAACTGAAGGCACAGCAGAATTGTGCTGAGATTTCAGAAAACTTTGTTGCAATGTTTAAAGAAAAACAAGGCTGATTTAGGTGGTGGCTCAAGCAGATTTCACTGCATTTTTCTCTTGAAATAAAAATATGTGGGTTCTGTTGGTAGCACATTCCTCCACACCATTAAGTTTTAACATTTGATGTTAACAGGATGCAGCACAGGGCAGCTTCCAGGACAAATGCCATGGATGGAAGGACAGCTGGCATTTGGTGCAGGGGGAGGAAGCAGCAGAAGCTGGCTCATCCCTAAAGGTGCTGGGATGAGTAAATCCCTGCCAGGGATGATCTGACAGTTTCCAGAGAAACAGAGAATTTCCATCCCAGGCAAAGCAATCATTTCATTATGGTGTCAAATCATCATTACATGTCCTCCCAGGAGAGCTGTGAGGAGCAGCTAATCACATTTATAAAACATTGAAAGTACAAAATGCCACAAAGTGCCAATATCATTATTAAAAATACTTGCAAATGGAAAAGGAGGCTGAGTAAGAAATACAGCACTAAAGCACAGCAAGCCATAGAGGCAACAATTATTATTAGCTTTAATATCACACCACAAAGGGGGAGAGGAACCTCCACTGCCTTTGAAGGGCCAGACAGGAGCTGCAGAGGAGTCATCAGCATGAAAAACAGATTAACAGCAAAGAAATAATTCCCAAAAAAAGTGATAGAGCATTACCTGCACTATAATAAGCAGCAGCCAAACCTATGGAGGCTATTCCTAGCAGGAAAGAGGAGAGAATTAAGACAAATAAATAACAAATAATTAAAAAACATCTAAAATTCCCTGATGAAAAACATCACTTTTCAAAACCAGGACAAACCTGATTGCAACATATATGACTATATGAAAGTCCAGTTATTTTTTTCTCTCAGTATTAAAAAAGCTTCCATCCTGCAAAGGCATTAAAAGCACAGTGGTTGGAGTCAGAAATAAAAATTTTGTGACACAATTGGAAACAGAAGCTCAGAGGGACTCAGTCCAACCATGACACCACACTTCCTCTCAGCACAGTACAACCTGGAGTGCTCACAAACCTTGCAATGGTTATTTTTTGGGTGTCTATGGAGCCAAAAGACAACTTTTGCAGTAAAGCTGTGTCAGAAAGTGCCAGCTCCTTTCTCTCAGAGAGGAGGAAGCAGCTGAAGAGTGCCCCATGCCCCAGGGGCTGCTGCAACTGCAAAGATCTTCTCAACCACATCCCTGAAAGCACTGACAAGGTGGTGCTGCTGCAGTGGGATCTCAGCTGGAAAGCAGGATAAACCAGATTTTCCCAGCAGTTCTCTCAGTACAATCCCAACAAGTTGATTTTTCCTGCATATTCAGTGGTGTTTATAAAGATGCTTTTCAGAATATCCTGTGTGATTTCCCACCACACACACAACACAACCCAGCAAGGTCACACTGCAGCTTTCCACTCCTGCAAACTGAGACGTTTCTCAAGCAAAACCCCCTTCAGAAGCTTCACATTTCATAATAAACCTCCTGTTCTTGATCTTTCAGGACTCCCTTAAAATTCCACCCATGAGCTTCTGAGGTTGAAAGTCCCACAGTGAAAGTGCCACGCTGAGGCTTCCCACTCATTCAGTGGCTATGGAAAGGAAGAGTTCAGAGCCCAATCTCTCCTCTTCTGGAAAGGAAAATGCCTGCAAGGCAGGGATTTCACCAGAGGCTCTTTCAGGAGTTTATTGTGAATCTCCCCTTAAAGCAAGCTGTGGAATGAAAGCTGTGTTCTTACCAACACAGAGAGACCAGGAGCGGATGCCAGGTGACCTCTTCAGGTGCAGATGGGAATTTGTGCGTTTTTCAACCAACATGTACATCTTCAACAGCAACCCCCAGCAGCCCAGTGTCACTCATCAAACCTCACTGCACCAAAACAACAAACAAACAAAAAAAGGTAAGATTTTTAAATCATTGACAGTTCCACCAGTTCCCCCTCCAGGACTTAGCAAATCTCAATCTAGACTATAAAAGATACTCTGGGGTGAGAACACAGGAAGAGCAATATGAACACTGAAAATAACCACAAAGTAAAACTGTCATGTTGAGAGTTGCATAACAACAACAGGAATGTGAATTCCTGGAAGAAAGTTCTCATTTTTAGGGGTAAAAGTCTCTTTCTGTTATAATCAGATTCTGGAAGAAAAATGTGAGAAACAAGGAGCTGGAACAATGTTGTTGTTAATTCATGCAGCCCTTCAGATAAAAGAGCAAGGGGAATGGAAATCTCTTTACAGCATTTCTCCTGTGAGCTCAGAGGGTTGTGTGAAGGGTTAATCTGGGAGCTGGGGCAGGACAGTGCAGCCAAGCACTGCCACCATCCCATAATGCCACAGACAGCAGTCCCATCTTCCAAGGCACCTCAGGAACACAGCCAGGAGCTTCCAACAACCATGTCTGTCTGTCCTCAACAAGACCATACCCTCAGCCCAGGCAGAAACAGCAGAGACTAAAAGGCCAGGCACTAATTAAAACCAGGAAGAGCTGGGTAATCCCATGCAGCATTTTCAGTATATTTTTACTGTTTCACAGCACAGAATCAAAGTTATCTAGGGTGAGAAAGACCTTTAAGATCATGAAGCCCAACCATTAACCCACATCCTTAAGCACCTCCCCTACAGGATTTTTGAACACTTCCAGGGATGGTGACTCCACCACTTCCCCGGGCATCCTGTCCCACAGAACCAGCTCAAGGAGGCTGGCATTAAGCTGCTGTTAGCTGCCCAAGATAACAGGTTTCAAGAAAATGCCAACATTCATCAGGTTCTGAATAACACTGAGAGAGCAGGTCTGAGCACATCCAAGTTCTCACAAAAGGCAAATATGTGATTTTCAGTCCTTTACTTATCCAGCTGTTCTTGGATGCAATATGCTCCTGCAATTCTGGGAGTTTGGATACAAAGCTCCAGGGGAGCAGATTTAGCCAGGTCTTTTCAGTTAAACAAAAAGCACCCACGGCTTTGGTTTTAATCTCTTAGCAACACATCTGAGAGCATCTGAAACCGAAAGAGCCAAAAGCACTTATGCATGAGACACACTCCATCTCCTCCGGATGTCAAGCATCAAATTTTAATTTTCAAATGACTCCTGTGAGCTGTTCTCAATACACCGGGAAATACTTCTGCATGCACAATGCCTTCTCCTGCCTGTTACCAAATCCAAGTTAAAAAACACATCAAAATCACCGCAGAAATCTCAGTGTATTTTATAAATATTACACCCTACTTAGAACATAATTCTCACACTTATCAGTCAAGTCCATTAATGCAACCTTTGATATCTCCTCCCCATAATAATTTAGGGAAGTTCAAGCAGGCAAATGTCAGTTTTGGTTTAATGTTGGACACTCAACATCAGTGCATTGTCTCTCACAGGCTGCTGCTTGGAATAAAAAGCAGCAAAGCGGCTTCTAAAGTTACATTTAATAAATAAATCATAAATGCGCCCTAAAGCAAATATTAAAGTTTTACCAGAACACAGAGAAAGAGGTATTTTTGTGCTGCTCTTGGTAAGTCCTTAAAAATTCAGTTTTGCTTGAATTTGTCTGGTTTACAATGAACTGATCTCCAGCATCAAAATAACATTCTCACGCTTCCTCCAAGCTGTCGGTTGAAGGCGAGCCAGCAAAACCCATTGGAAGAATTGAAATTTTCACCCCTTGAAACCTTCACCACCAGCAGCCATCAATTCAGGACCACACATCAGGTGAATTTTCTTTACAGAGCTTATTTTTGTTACCTCCCAAGCCTGCACCTGCTCCCAGCCCAGCGTGGTTTCCCCCTCAGGGAGGGGAAGACCCTCCCCAGCCATGACCCACCCGACCCGCGGCTTTTGTCCCCCCGCGTGTGGGGAGCCCCAGGCCGCCCTCACCCTCACCCTCACCCAGCCCGGTGCCCGCGGTACCTGCCCGGCCTCCAGCCGCCTTCTAAAGATCCTCGGCCGCCTCCGCGTCCCGCGCCCTCAGCGCTGGTCCCGCCTCAGGGATGGACGGAGGCGCCCGCGGCCATTTTGGGTGAGGGCAGAGGACGGGACAAGAACCTCCCTTCCCTTCCTTTCCCTTCCCTTCCCCGCCCGTGAGGGCAGCGCCGCGCCAAGATGGCGGCGCGCTGCCAGTACTCAGCATGGCGCCGGGGCCCGCGGATGCTGCTGAAGTAAGAGCGTCGATGTTTCCTTGGTTGTTTTACTTTAGCGGTGCTTGGAAAGAGCAGAAACCTCGCGTGAGCCGCTGTAGGGTGAGGCTGGGTGTGCGGGAGAACCTCAGTGGATACGAGCTGAGATGGATGAGGCGGACATGGCCCCTTGTATGAGGGGTCGGGGAGGGCAGGGGAGCCCTGGGGGCTCTCCCCAGGCTCGGGCAGCTCCTGCAGAGCCAGGAAACCTCCGGGTGCTCGATGGCAGCACCTGGGACAGCAGTGACACAAAGAGCTGGTGCCGTGCCCCGGCTGTGGCAGAGTGACAGCACGGCTGGGGTTGGAAGGATCCTCTGGAGATCGCTCAGTCCAAGCCCTGCTGACACCTCGAACGCGTCCCGGTGGGTTTGGAATGGCTGCAGGAACGTTTTGCTGATTTTAGGAGCCCTCTAAACACAGACATTTTAGTTTAGGAAGGAGATGTTGTTTATTCTGCACAGGGTGCAAGGTGGACATTTCCACACATCAAGCACACCAAAGCTTTTAACTATTTCTACATTTTAACACATTAGTGTTCATTGGCTACAAGTTACATCATTCTCTTAATAATTAGCATTCTGTCTTCTATTGATTAATGATCCACTTGTCATGCTAAGAAGTCTGCATGCTCAGCCTTTCCTTCTTGTAGGTGAGTTTCTTGTGTCAGTGGTTGCAGATTCCACCCGCCAGAATTCCCTTTTACCCAGCTGGAGCTGATTTCAGCCCAGTTGCTGAGTTGGCTTCATCTCTTTCTTCCTTATATTGGGAGTTATTGCCAGGTGGCCCCTAAATTCTGAATTCTTGGTGCCCACTGCCAGTGGGCATCCTTTTTGCTCACACTTTGTTAACCTCTGCTAGGTCTGAGGTCATTAAAGCATTATCAAGCCCTAGGCTTCAACAAGGCAATTTCACCAACAAATAACTTGTTTTTTGTTACACCTGGACATCACTTATATTTGCAAAGCAGAAATATCAGTGATAATCTTACAAGTCAAACATTGATGTCATGAGTTTTCTGAATTGTGCATCAGCTGAAGGGTTGAGTTTGAAAATCCGTTATTTGGGGAGGAAAGTTTCTAATTCACTTGAAATACAGAATAATTTTCCTGTTGTGGACAAATAGGCTGCATTTGGAAAATGTTTCATGTTTCAAATATCATTCACATGGGAAAGCTGCTCCTGTTCAATCCATTAGAGCAACTGCTTATGTCAGGCAGGATGGGTGAAATGCAGACATCTGCAGTTTAGCTTAACTTCTTAGATTATTCTAAGTCAGTCTGTAACTTCATCTACAAATGATACTTGGTCCTCTCTCAGTTGCACAGGAATGTCCTTCCTGGATGAAATCCTCAAATTTTGGCTTTTTTCCAAACATGAATATATTCTGGAGTGTTTGCTCAGGGCCATGACATGATAGAAGTTTATTTAGCTGTTCTCAACATTATTCTGGCAAATTAAGATTTTGACCAATGACTTTCATAACATTCCAGAGTGAAGATAGGGATAAAACCCCCAGAGTCCACAATACAGACATTTAAGTGTAAGTACTGGAAAATACCTGTGTAAAATTCTGTGTAAGAGTTAATGGGAAAAGGCAGTGAGGAACTGCAAGAATGAATTGGCTGCTTGTGAGTCACAAGGTACCAGCTGCTGGATTTGGATGAAAAATAGGAAGTAAGAAGTATCACGTGTGCTCAACCCAAACAAGCAGCTGACTGAGGCTTTTGGGAAGAAATTTATGTCTAATTAGCTGTCAATCAGTTTTTACAAGCAACTGGTTTCTCTGGAAACCAAATGTTAAGCTGTTTGGATTGATAAAAGACAAAAGGTTTCTTGTGTCTAGAGTAGAGTGAAATAAGCAAGAAATTAATCTCCATTAAAAAAACCCATAAAGCATATGTTTTATTATTGTTACTAACTGCAAAAATATCAGCAGCTCTCTACTTCTGCAGTTCTTCAAAGGTCACACCAGGATAACCTGGTATGACTTAATTTAATTATGAAGTTACAGAGAAATTTTTTCAGCCATGGGAAATATCACATACATACACAATCCAGATAAATATGGCAAGGATCCCTGTAGGCTTCTGCTATCCATTAATGATTCTTACAGCATTTTTTCTAAAATCTGGGGGTTTTACACCAGCTCTTTCAAGTAGGTGAGTGCTGTTATGCCTTCCAATAGACAAAGGAAGAAGGAATATTTTGAAAGCCTGATGCTGGACCTAAAGAACAGCATGAATTCCAATCCACTGCTGCAGAAACAAAAACCATTTTCCAAAATAAACAATTCAGGAATATGTGATTGTTTGTGGACTTCTTCCTCAACAATGTAAAAATAGATTCTGTGGAAGTGTTTATGTTCTATTTGTGTAGCAAACAGACTTGTAACTTTTAAGTCATTGACCTAAACCCAAGAACATGCAAATAAAACAGAACTGGCCTTTATTTTGAATTAGTTTGACATGTGTGTAATTGTGGTGCTTTTTCCTATTTCAGACCATTTCCCTAAATATTTTTTTCTAACTCCTTATTTTTTTTTTCTGCCCTAAAGTCTTAAGAATTCAGCTATGCAATAAGCATGTGATCTGACTGACATGCCAGGATAAATTCCAGAGTGCTTGCTTGGAGGCAGCCACCAAATGCTTTGGCTGGAGAATTGGCTGGGAGTGCTGTTAGAAATGAGCTGATGCCACAGAAGGAGCCTGTGCTGGGCCTGCCCTGGGTGGAACAGGGCACAGATTTCATGGATCCATGTTCATTCAGCCAGGAGTTACTGCCCAGCTCTGCCAGCTGGGGAGTGCCATGAGCTGGCACAGCCATGCACAGCCTGCAGCACTTTGCTGTTCTCACAGGGAAATTCTTATTTCTCCATTTCATTCAGGGTGTAAATGCTTCAGGTGCAGGGATAAATGTTACATGGAGGCCAAACACATCAACAACAGTGGCCATAAAAGAAGTGATGCCTTTAGGTGCTGCCTACAGCTGGCATAGGAAAGCTTTTAGAGAGTGCAAAGGTGGTGTCACCATGCCCAGATTAAGTGTCACCATGCCCAGATTAAAGCAGGATGCTGTTTCTTGTCTCAGGTTATCAGGCACACTGTGAGGGTTGATCAAAGATCCACTGTTCTGTGGGAGAATGGAAAGCACAGAGTGCTCTTGGCAATAAAATAAATGAGACATCTAATTATCTAATGATTTCAAAAATACAACCTTGTACTGTGCACTGAAACAGAGATTCCTTGCACACACTTCAGTTTGTAGAAGTTTTAGCTCTTTTTGTTTGAATTTTGAAATGGAAATAAATTCAGTCCAAGTATTCCTAAGATGAAGGATGAAATAGGGATACTTTAGGTGTCCTCAATATTCTTGCAAAATGCTTCCATTTCTATGCAGTTTTTCATTGTGAATACAAGAAATAGGGGGGAAATTCAGTCTTTGCCCTTTGCTGATGTGCAGAAGAATGTGTTTAATCCAATCCATTTACAGATTACTTGGTTCACCAGGGATTCCCATCCCTGGAAATTCAAGGCCAGGCTGGACAGGGCTTGGAGCAGCCTGGTCTGGTGCAAGGGGGGTTTGGACTAAATGACCTTCAAAGGTCCATTCCAACCCAAACCACTCTGTGATTCTGTGAAATAAAAATATATTTTAAATATGATCTGTGCAGTTACAGAAATATCCAAAACTGGCATGTCTTTTGAAGAATCACTTTATCAGTTTTGGATAATAAATGTAAGTATAATCAGAGTGTGAAACAGGAAGATTTTAGCTGTGCTTTTAAGTACAAATCTCAACACATTTCTAAATTAGAACTTCCCATCTGTCCTGTCACCTTATTGGCCAGTGCAGCTATAGCTGTTGCATCCTGGTAGAATAAGGTGCTTTTCTTGTATGAAAATACTCATCCACAGAACAAAAAAGATGTCAGATAATGCTGCATTCCAGCAAGTCTGTAGGAAATGGGAATTCTTAGATCACATAGGAATTGCTCAGTGGTTGTGATGCTTTTAAAAAGCTTGGGCTAATACACGAATAAAAAATGTGAGAGTATTTTGAATGAAGAGAGCAGAGGCACAGAAAATTATTACCAAAGCTATTACAATTTTTACCTCAAGCCAGGATTACTGATATTTTTCCAGGGTATATGTAAAGCAGCATCAGCTTACTTTTCTTTAAGTGGTAAGTATGAAAACATTTCTGTTTTCTTTCATCAGGGTTAAGCTAAAGAATTCTTGATTTCTCTGACCTCAGTGATAACTCACCTATAGTCTGCAAATTAAAAAATAATTCTAAAAAAGCACAACATTCTTCTCTGGGGTTATCTTTGGAACAAGTGTTTAAAGTTGTGGTTTTGGGTAACAAACATCTGGCTGTGCCTGTTTCCAGCCCTTGTGCTCAAAACCCATCTGTGGCTTAAAGCACTGTAACAGGAGGGGATTTACCCAGTGCTACAGAAAAGTTACAGTTAAGGCAGGAAATTGCATGTTTTTCGGAAGTTCTGTGGTTTAATTTATAAAACGTCATTTTACACTTGAAAAACTTCTCTGTGTAGGCGTTTGCTTGTACTTGTGTGTTCATATGGCTGGGGGTTAAAAAAGGAGCAAAATCTTGATTGAACCTTTGTGTCTAAATCCTACCTGAGGTTGAGAAACACAAGAAATCGTAAAAATTCTCAATTAATACTCCAGGGCCTTTGAGACTGGAAGGCTGATATCTGTTCAATAATCCTGTTCATGAGGATTTGTGATTCCTGCCTGGGAACAGCATTGCTGCTACTTGTGTTTTATTACAGGAATGGGAAACCGCAGCATATCGCTTAAATAAAATGGTGATGATGCTGTATTTAATAAATCGCAGAGTGTCATTTCACTTTAAAGCCATTAGGAAAAAAACAGAAATCGAGGGGAAAAAACCCATTGTACGATATTAACAGAGGAGCGCGTTGTAAAAAATTACGCAGGGACGCTCCAGAGAAGCGGCGAGGCTTCGGGCGCAGAG